TCATGGAACCACTAAAAAATAGCTAATTATCATGCAAATTAGGTAATTAATATGCACGGATTTTTACCAAAAATTAATCAAATCTGCGCATATGTTCAGAGCATCCATGTACCAAGTTTCATCAAAATCCAATGAGTGGTTCTTTAGATATCAGTGGAACAGTCATAGAACAGCTAAAAATTAGCTAATTACATGTATCATGCAAATTAGGTAATTAACGAGCATGGATTTTTACCAAAACCTAATCAAATCTGCGCATTGGCCCAGAGCATCTATGCACCAAGTTTCATCAAAAACCGATGTATGGTTCTTGAGATAGCAGTGGAACAGTCGGACACACATACACACATACACACACACATACACACATACACACATACACACATACAGACACACTAACTGCAAAGACTCCCATTTTGTGCTTCGCACATGGGAGTCAAAAATATATTGCAGGTCATGTAAGTATGATGTGAAATATTTGATGACTCCTGATGTATTGTCTTCAGGCATACTTTAAGGTATCCTTGTAATAACCTTATTATTATACATTATTATTATTATTTCCTCCCAATGATACATCATGGGAATGCTGAAATCCAAAAACAGAATCAGCGAACTGCTTTGTGTGGAGTCCGGTCAAACCCTGGTGGAAGCCATGCTTGTTTTCATTATAAGAGGACGCAGCTGGACGCTTACGCGCGGAATCATTCCATATTTAGAATTTGCATTTCATATATGTTAGGATGAAAATAAAATACCATAAAATTACTGAACACTGTAACTTATGGGGTTACAGTGATAGATGTAAAATATTGCAAAATCTGCACAAAAGCAGTATTGCAATCATATCAACAGTCAAGTAATGGAAATTGATGAGATCCATGTGACAGACTGAGTGGTATTCTTGTGACAACCTTGTACATTTTATTTCTTGTCGGACAGAGCAATGAAAACATTTTTTTGCAATGTGACTACATTCTGTTTTCATTACGAGCTATATCACTTCTACATTCAATGTAAACAAAGGAAAGTGTTCCAATGTGACGTCAATAACCTCAAATATGCCAATGTTAGTGATGTAGTTTACACAATATGAGAGGAAATGTGCCGAGTGCTGATACACTTTGGAAAAAGTGATGATACAGCTTTTCACAAAATGGCAAATTCTATTGTTTTTAGTCAGTATGAGCTAACAACTGGTTTTACTTTTTTTTTTGAAAACTGTTATTCAATAATTACAACTTAATCGTATTATTTCACAATTACTGATCAATGTATTGTGGATATACATGTACTCTGCAGTTTAGATAGAAGATGGTTTTGAAAGCAAGTTTAGCACTGTACTGTGTGTTTTAATGAAATCTTATATTTTGATTTGTCTAACCAAGATAAAAAAACACAAACCTCTATTTGTCGTATCCTGTCTTCTCGTTCTTCCATTAATGCTTGGTCAAACTCAATAACTTGTTCTTGCTCTTGTAATTGAGCTAAGTGTTGTCGCCTGCTTTCTTCTTCCATAAGTGCTGCCTTGTCATCTCCATAGTCATCAAAAGCACCTGGCTATATATGAAGCAATAAAACACCATAGATTGCTTGGTTAGGTTCTCAGTTGTAATAAGTCATGGTAAATGACAGTCATAATTTAAGTGTTTTGACATTTGAGTTTATATAAAGACATAGCTTAAAAGTAAAAGGTTCCAAAAAGCAAAACAGCAACAATGTCAGTCAAGTTGCTGATTGGTTTTATAAGACTGTTTCAAGATTGTTGGGTAAACCATCCTCAATAGGAGATGTCAAACTAATAGTGGGGAACTCAAACTCATTGAATATAAATAGAAGATCATGATGGAATTACCTTTCAATTACTTCATTCAATTGTATAAATTTCTATATGATACATGCCAAAGTTACCCAAACAAAATGTATGCAATGACACAGACAGAAATGTCAGGACACAGTCACTGGTGTGTATGTTGCATGTCATAAAGATTGTAAGTGCACACATATATTGCCGAACAGCACACCCTCCAAAAAAGACTTGACCTTATCAGGTTTAGTTGCATATCTATCTCAAAGAATCATAGAAGAGTCATAGAATTTATTGCATATTGGTTTACATATTATGTCTTTGCATAAACGAGAACTGTCAGTTTACTTTAATTACAGTTTACAATAAGAATTTGTAGGTTTGCACAACTGGATTAAAATCAGATGCAGATAGAAATCTTTGGTAATTGTTATTTCTAGATGACGCTGGACACATTCTCGAACTGACCACCTATCCATAGAGGTTTATACCTGCTTCAGTTTCAGCACCAAATTTGTTTTATTGTCACACAGATTACTTTTTGAATGATAGCTACATTTTTGGAAACTATAAAACTATCTTTCTCTTATTTTCACATACAGATGATTTAGGCCAAATAACCAAACTTGGTATATGTATCCAAACATTCACAATGCTGCAGACTGGTCATAAAATTAACTTCCCTTAGTGAAATTAACACTGACATGTGAGAACTTTGTATTTGTCTGTTGAATGGTCACCAGTAAGTAATAACTAAAAATGAGTTCATACTTACTCCACCATAACCATCAGGTGGCAGTCGTTCCATGGCAGGTGGTTCCGGAGATATCTTCAATTTTTCTGCTACTTTCTACAATGATTCAAATAGAAGAAATGTACATTATATACAACAGTGTCTAGAAGGGGAAATGTCCCAGGTTGAAGGAGACATATTTTCTCAATATAAAGTGACTCAGTGTTTTAAGGTCTCTAACAATGTACCAGGCTATAGGTTACCTTCTCTCAATATTTTGTGAAAGTCACTATGACTCGATGTTTTGAGGACTCTAGAAGGAGGTACCAGGCTATAGTCACTGGTTACCCACTCTCTCTTCTGAAGTCTGAACATTCTGATAAGTTTGCTACTCCCAGACGACGAGTAACAGTGCCGTTAATCGGCTAATGAAGATAGTATTACATAGCAAAATCTCAAGAGAAAGTACTGTGGTTAACCAGGCAACAAGGACCCAGTAAATTTCACAGATTTCCAAAAAAATTGTCTTTCACAAAGTGGTGTCAGTAAATGGTGTAAGATTATACTTATAAATTGTGATATATTTCAGAGAGGTTAACACAATTACAAAACTATTGTTACTGCAAATAGCTTGTGTTTAATTTAAACTTTATACTAATTTGAAAACCCAGTTTATTTTTAAAAGTTAATTACCAGTACCTCATTTCTCCAGTCACAGGAGCCTCACCATGTGAAATTGAGAAAAGTAAGGGGAAAGCATATACCCGAGAAACCAACTCAGAAAAGAGGTTTGGCTTAACATTGTAACCATGTTACCATCCTCGTGAAATTATCCAAGTTACACATTTCATTAACCATACATGTCATTGATTTCCATAACACTTTTACAATGAAGAAACAAAATTACATGTTCATAAAAATTTGCACATTTTACTACAAGACAATTTACATCTGAACTTACAGTGTAAAAATGATAGGGGTCTTTGGGAAAACAGTCAAAGGCAAGATCTTTATCATTATATCTTAGTTTGATTGTGCGCAAACTCTTGATGCAAGACAATTTCCACCATGTTTTTCTGCATGACTTAACTCACCTTTTGTGTTGTACTGTAGCCCCTTACTGCACTTTTAAAATCACTTCCAAGCCTGTCAACTTGCAGCCTTTGTTGCTGAAAAGAACAAAAACACCCACCTCTGGAATGATTTTGATGAATTTTTAACACAAAAATGACAGTCATTGGGAAATCTTGAATCGGATCACAAAATATTCATTCACAGAACTGATGTATGCACAGAGGTGAAATTATAAGTTCCCTTTTTTGAACTTTTATAATTTGTAATAATTGTAGTGTTACCTTAGTTTTCTTTCTTGATGCATTGGCAAGCGTTTTCAATAGTTTGGATGTTTTGTTTACTATAGTGTTCGTTACTTGTTGTGTGTGGTGACTAAAGAGAAAAAGCATGCATTATTTAAATCTTTGTGAATTGTCAAATTAACATTGTTCAATAGACACAAAACTTGAATTCTGCTCAAACTAACAAATCTGCTCCATTAATATTGCATATAAATGAGTTATAGCTATTGTCAAAATATGTCACATTTCAATAATCCAGCATATACCGCTATATGTATATACAGTATACACCAACATAAACCTACATGTAATGTGGCAGCATTGATTTACCATTTATTTACAATAACATAGAATGTATCCAGTTGCAAGAAAATTGAATCAATCTAAGCACTATATTCATCATATACCTTACATTTTATCTCGGAGTGCTTTACTATCTGTTGTACTGGTTCCAATTTGTCGGAGAGTCTTCTCAAGTGCTGATGCTGTAAAAGACAAGTGTCAAATTTTGAATATCTGTGTGATATACTCAGCGCTTTAATTCATATGTTACAATTATAGTATAGTATGAGTGGGTTGATGAACACTTTGTGTCAGAACTAAACAAACATTCACAAAAAACAAGCCAAATGTGTGTTTACAATCATCTTCAAAGAAATGTGTAATACAACTCACCATTATTGTTAATTTTATATATATTACTACTTGCTTGGTCTACAAGGTCTTGAAAATCATCTTCTGTACATACATATAAATAGAAATCACGAGTGTTTGTTATTTACTGGAGTAGTTCCGTAGTTCAATCACTTAGAGGGTCCTCACAGCTGTCCATCCTGACACTAAAGTTACCACTAAAAGACTGGTAAATATACACCACATGTTTTGTTACAGGTGTTAGGAAAGGTAAACATTTCCAATGTTACAATTGGATTCTATGCATGAATTTGTTCAAAGGATCACAACATTTAATGTTCTCTCCAGATTGAAGCTGCAGAATGGCAATTTATTTCCATATTACTAATCAGCATACATGTATGAATGCATTATTTCTCAATATAATTAAATAAATATTAATAATCATATCAACAAATTTGTTAAGCATAAACACTGATGGTGGTACCAATGTACTTGAACTTACATTTGGAGAATAATGAATATGGGTCCCCATGTGATGGATACAATGCAATTACATTGTTACTCTAACGGCAGCTCTAACAAGCAGTGCTGCCAACATTTGTATATTCCCCTATCATTGCAAAAACCTGTATCCTCACCTATTCCTTGGTAACTTCCACCACCACCATGTCCATACAAAGTATTTATATTGCCAGGAGCGCCAGAGCTGCCATCATTATCTACAGCACCATATGAACCAAACTCACCACGATTCATACTGTAATGTTATCTGCATAGAAAACAGATGAATTCATCAAATATCATATCTAATTTATATAGTTTATTTTATACCTTAGTTGTCCAATTAAGCACCCAGGGTCCTGAACATAGAAAATTGCAAAAAAAAGGGTGGGCGTATGGCTGGACATCTCCTGACAATTGACAACACGCAGATTGAACTGTGGCAGGAAAAAGACTGGCAAATGAAAACATGCAATGAAAATAAATGAACAATATGCAACATTAGAAGTATAACAAAAATAATTTATTGCTTATAATCAGGGATGAGAATGAGAATTTTAATTTTCAGCTGAAAGCGGTCCTATTAATTACTGCCCGGGACAAAATGGGACTGCCAGGGACCGATATTCAACTATTTAAGACGGGAATTAAACTGATTTTTGAATACTTTTTATTACCTCTTATTACCTACTTTCTATTACCTCCTACCATTGTTCAAATGATCATGCTTTTTATTTTGGCTACGTTGCGCACTGACCAGAGATCTCCGGCGACGACATTGTTACACTGAATCAACGTAATCCCAACGCAACTTTGAACTTTGAATGAACTGTAAATGCTGCATTCAATCTAGAAAATACTATCTCAAAACGGCTGGAAATAATAAATATAACAGCAGAATACGTCCTAGTAATAAAGTAAAGTGACTTCTAAAGACTGAATGTTTTTGCGAACTTCGTATACGAGGCCCTTGTACTTTTTGAGCGATCACCAACCAGACTACTGGCTTGTATTTGTTGTTAGTGACATTCACGGTCCTTGCTATTTTAATATATCTTAATATATAAGTGTATAAGTGAGTATTTTTGCCCCGAGCAGTCCCCGGGCAGTCTCAAAAAGTAATTAATAGGACCCACTGAAAGTAAAGTAGCCGGGGACTGAGAACCGTAGTTGATCAAATCGTTACAATACAGGCACTGCGCCTTTCCCGGGACCTTGCACTTGCTGATGAAGTCACTCAATTTTTCAGTTACCAATTCATCTTTCTTCCCGATTCGCACGGTCAAAGTCACTTCCTTGTCAAGCATTGCCCAACAAAATTTGTTCCTAATGTCTTTATCGATCTCTCGCACAGCTGACTCGTTGTCTTTTGTAACCAATTTCACCATTATCACTGCATGAAACTTGTAAACAATTGAAACAATAAAATGGCGCCGTTGGTGAAAAGAGAAATGAAAGCTCTTCACTGATTAGCCCGTCATAACAAACCCAGCCAATCATGTTAATCGTTATATATTACTTCGAACACTTCGAAACCACTTCGGATTTTATGATTGCATGAATGAAAAGAGTCGCGAACATTCTGCATTGGAGACGCCGCGAGTTGTCTCCCTTCAACCATACACTGATACAGGCCTCTTGCAGCCAACAACAATGACCCAACAGCGTGTTTACTTCCGAATGAACAAGATTTGTATTCTTACACCCCCCCCCCACCTAAAATTTTCTCTTCGGATTTAGATGTTTCAGAAAATCGATCCCTGGGGCTTAGAAATCCGCGGAAAATTCTCATCCCTGTATAATGTGACAAATAAACCAGAAACAATATAAATCCACAGTGAGGAATCATTTGAATAATAATTTATGAATTTACACAGTAGTTTGAATAAACTTCTCAGATCTCCATTTGCACGTTTATTTCCATCTTCGTCAAAGTCAAAACCCTCAAAGTTCAAGTCGGCGTCACTATCACCGGCCAACAAAATCCCTACAGCTTTGTCCTCAAGTTTGTCGATGTTGTTGCACACAATTTGGACTTTTATTCCACGGATTTCACTGTCTGTCAGATTGGCATGTCTAATCACAATTATGAGACAAGAAAAATAGGGTCATGTGCCAACGACTCTGGTCTATCATCTTCGACCATTAAGCATCTGCTTTACTGTTAGGACTTAGTAAAGTTATTTATTTCATATTGATTTGATAGAAAAATGCATAAACCAAAGTAAAAGTTCATGGCTGATAGAGGGCGTGATTTTGAGAGGATGAGAAAAACGGAAGAATTTAGTAATGGCGGCTGTTTGAAAGTTGTTGTTGGACTCATAGTCATATTTTGATCGTTTATCGGAAACTTACGTCGTGTCTGCCAGTGTTTGAGGTCAAATCGGAGTATGGTGGACTTAATTATGCTGAATTGTTGAAGGTGTTCCGCTGTTAGGCAGTGATAATTTTGAGTGATCACCGAACTTGCGGTTTTTGCATAATGTGCATTGCGTCATAAGCACAGTTTTGAGATGAAGACAAAATTTTTGTGTTGATTGAATCAGATACATATGTAGTTTCCGAAGTTTGTGAAGCAATATAGCCTTATTGAAGTTTGAAGTAACCTGAGTTTTGTAGTTTCAAGGAAATCGCCTATCTTGCTGTGAGTAACAAGTCGCAATTATTTCTTACGAACAATCTGCAAGGAGTCACGTGACCAATGAGTCATTGCCATCTTGCAACACATTGTATCAAATATGGTTGAACTTATGAAAAAGAAAGATAAGTGAAAGTGGAACTTTTGAACTATTGCATAATTCATTTATTTTTATATGTTGATACATAAGGCAAGTCTGTTATTGTTATGCTCTGTTGAGTATTTGTTATATACCGTACATATCGGGGTAAGAGCCCATGCCTCGATTTCACGACGAAAACCTTGTGAAATGGGAAAACTGTGACGCCACGATATTTATTCAAGAGGGCGGCAAACACAGGGATTTCGCTGTAGTTTTCCACGGTTTTCATCGTGAAATCGACCAATTTCGGACCATCGCCCTCAAAAAAATTTATGAAATAGTTTTGGGACCCATCGACAATAGAAAGGTAGAAACTTGAGGCGAAAATAATGCAAAAAAAACGGCTGTTACAGCCCAACCTGATTTCAGCTCGGTAAAATAGGGTAACTCGCATAGGATGGAACTGTAGCTCCATGGTTTTGCGTTAACACCACGACTAACAAAATAACCGACAGCGAAACCAAGTGAGCTACAGTACTGCAGCTACTTAAAGGGGCACTTCCAGTTAAGCCTAATCTCACAACAAATTTGCTTTCTGGATTAAAATTACAATGGATAACAAAAGACAGATTAACTTTGTAAACAACATAAACTATAGTGTCCCATGATTCTTTGGTGCAATCCCTGGGCTTGGAAGCAGGGTTCTCCCCAGGGCTTTTTAGCGCCGAGGTCCGCGGCGCTATACCTGTGAATCTCGGCGCTTCACTTGGGACCTCGGCGCTATGTGTTCCCACCTCGGCGCTTGATTTCATATTTGACATGCCAATATCAGATGTGAAAAAGCTTTATTCGCCACGCCGGTCGGCCCCGACCGTCACTCAAAATTAGTGACCACCACGGAAATGCTTCCGACGAGGACTATTGTCTGATTGTTGGTATAATTAAGTACCGACCGACACGCATCCTGCCAGTCGTGGATTATAATTTATAAACAATAGACCTAGTCGCACGATACGTAGCGGCTAGTCAAATTTGTGGAATTAGCACCTCTTTGTTTGTAAGTAAATACTTTCTGCGATAGACACAGTCTTTAGATTTAAAGCTAAAATTATTTCAAATCAATTCCACCTCGATATAACATGGTCAAATCGGAAAAAAACAACGTGTTTATTGCGTGATTTGGTAAAATACATTTGAACTGTTATCATTGCGAATCATGTAAAAA